TAATTTCTGTGATTTCTTTGTAGTAGTGCTATGCTCCTCTGACAGCAGGTGCATGATGTCTAGCTTCTTCTTTTTTTTTTTTTTTTTTTTAATAATATTTGCATCTGTTGATGCTTAATGACCAGATTCATTAACTCACAAAAGTCAAAATAATGGTATTTTAATTTTATAATTTTTTCCTTAACTGAAATACTTATATGGAGAGAAATTTCTGTATATCTGTTTGGTTACTCAGCAATATAGTTTATAAAGGAAAGGAAGAAAAAATACTTAATTCCTGACCAATTTTCAAAATAATAAATTGATTCACCACTCTAGTAAGCTCAAAGATTCATGTATGGCTCTAAGTATAATTGTATTTTAACCCATTACAACTGATTTCATTGGACCCTAAATTTTCTTCTTGCTTCTACCTGCACCACACAATTGTAAAAGGGCCCCTTTCCCTTCTTTTGTTTCATTTAAATCACATCTACTTTTGAGTCCTTAGCCTCTCTGTTGTGAACAGATTTCTATCAGGCTGTCTGTAGTATTTTCCCATTTAACGTAGTCTTAGTCTTCAGACCATGGATTTCAAGCTGCTTTAGGCTGATGGACTGTCCTTTTATTCACTTGTTTTTGCCCGTGTGTCCTGGCTTACTGCAAGGATGGGAAGTGAGTGGAGAGCTGAATAATCATTTGCTGGGATTTGGTAGTTTTAAATTTATCATTTACAGAAAATTTGAAGTTTGGGCACTGCTTATCTTCACATATTGTAGAGCATGACTTGCATCTTCATTTTTTTTTTCTTGTTGCTAGCAGTCATTCATAACAGGTTTTGGTGCAGAAGATATTTAGTGTAATATTCAAAATATATTTTTGGTTATCAAAACTGGGGTCAAGGGTTGGAGTTGATACTCCAACATTAAGAAATCCTCAGGGCTGGGGATGTGGCTCAAGCGGTAGCGTGCTCGCCTGGCATGCATGCGGCCCGGGTTCGATCCTCAGCACCACATACAAACAAAGATGTTGTGTCCGCCGAAAACTAAAATAAATAAATAAATATTTAAAAAAAAAAAAAGAAATCCTCTACTATACTGTTTTGGGAGGAAGTATTATGAGAGGCTGAGCTAGGAGGCTCCATTGCTTTCGGCTACTTCTGGTATTTTTACATCTGCTTATGGAAGGCACTTTTACAGAAGTATAATTTACTTCCAAAAAATAGACTCTTTTTTGAAGTGAAATTCACATAATTAAATTGTAAGACAATGGAAAACTGGTGATCTAACCACTTTTAAGTATTCCATTTGGTGATGTTGAGTATAACTTTGTGTTTTGTTTTGTTTTGTTTTTAACCCGTGCTGGGCATTGAACCCAGGTCCTCACACAGGCTAGGCCAGTGGACTACCACTGAGCTCTTCCCCCAGCCCTTCATTCTTTTATGGCTAGATAATATTTCATTGTATGGTTATGTACCATAATTTGTTCATCTCTTCAGTGTGGACATTTGAGCTATTGTGAACACTTGTGCACAATTCAAAAGTTTGACACATGTATACATTTAAATATTCACTGACTCAGTTAAAATACATAGAGCATTTCTGTCATCCTCAAAAGTTTCCATGTTTCTCTGTGGTTGTTCTTCTCTTTTCCTGTCCCTTTTAGTCACTGGCCTGTTTTCTGTCACTGTCATTGTACCTTTTCTAGAATTTTATATAAATAGAATTCTACAGTATGTAGTCATTTATGTCTTGCTACTTTTATTTAATGCTTTTAAGATTTTTTTTCTTCACATTGAATGTACCAATAGTTGTTCCTTTTCGCTGTTCGCATTCCATTGTTTGTGTATTTATCACAGTGGTGTATCCGTTCACTAGTTTGATTGACCTTTGAGTTCGAACCTGTGACTGTTATGAATAAAGTGGCTATGAATGTTTATGTACAGATCTGCATGGAGACAGGTTTTATATTCTCTGTGGTAACCTGGGAGTGGGATTGTTACATAGTACAATGAGTAGGTTAAACTTTATAAAGAGCTGCTGAACTGTTTTCAGAGTGGTTGAGTCCTTGAATAGTGCCACCAGCAGTGTGTGGGCACTGCAGTCCCTCCACTACCTTGTCAGCACTGTTGGTGCTTTTAATTTTGGTGATTCCAGTGAGTGTGTAGTACTGTGCCATTGTGGCTTCAGTTTGTTTCAGGAATATTAATGATGTTGCTGGGTGTGGTGGTGCACACCTGTAAACCCAGTGGTTGGGGAGGCTGAGGCAGGAGGATTGAAAGTTCAAAACCAGCTCTAGCAACTTAGGAGACCCTGTCTCAAAATAAAATAATAAAAAGCTGGGAATGTGGCTCAGTGATTAAGCACCCCTGGGCTCAATCCCTGGTACTAAAAAAAAAAAGAATGATGTTGAGTGACTTTTCTTGACTTAATGGCCATTTCTGTGTCCCCTTCTGGTTTTTCTTGTATTTTTAGTTGGCTGGCTTGTCCTTTTGTTTTTTTTTTTTTTTGAGTTGATGAAATTTTTTATATATTCTGAAGTAAGTGTTTATCAGATGATATGTTGTAAATATGTCTTCCTGGTCTGTGGATTATCTTGATTTTTCTTAATAGTGTCTTGAAAAGCAAAAGTTTAAATTTTGAGGGCACCATTTTATCGCTTTTTTCTTGTTTGGTTTGTGTTTTTGGTGTCCTAAGAAATGGTTTCCCGGGGTTGGGTTGTGGCTCAGTGGTAGAGCGCTCGCCTAGCACGTGCAAGGCGGTGGGTTCAATCCTCAGCACCACGTAAAAATAAGTAAATTAAATAAAGGTATTGTATCCATCTGCAACTAAAAACAAAATATTTTAAAAAAGAAGAAAGAAAGAAAGAAATGGTTTCCTAACTCAGGATCACAACAGTTTTCTTCAAAATTTTATAATTTTAGCTTTCATGTTTATGTTGATACCTAGTGGTTTAGTTTGCTTATTTTCAGTTATGTAATCCCATTTTTAAATGCATTTTAATTATACAGAATAATGGGTTTCATTGTATCTGTCATATATACTTTGACCATATCCACCTTGAGTTTATTTGTGTACATGATACAATGCAAGGTTGGGGACGCCCCCGACCCTTTTAAATCACATTATCAGTTTCAGTGATATTTGTTGATATTTGCTTTTTCAGTATCCTCCTCTTTTCATGTCTTCCTGGTCTTGTGTCAGAATCTCACTTGACCTTAAGTGCAGGTATATTTTTGACACTGTTCTCTTCATCTGTATATGTACCTTACACCAGCACTGCACTCTTGATTATTATACCATAAAGAAAGTATTGAAGGACTGGGATTGTGGCTCAGTGACAGAGCGCTCACCTCGCACATGTGAGGTACTGGTTTCAATCCTCAGCACCACATAAAAATAAATAAACAAAATAAAGATATTGCATCCATGTGTAACTAAAAATATATATTTTTAAAAAATATTGAAATCTAATTTCAATAATGACTTAAGCCTTCCAGTTCTGCTGTTTTTAAAAAGAAGTTTCTTTGCAGGGTGAGATGGTGCATGCCTGTAATCACAGTGACTCATGAGGCTGATGTAAAAAGGATCACAGGTTCAAGCCCAGCCCCATCAACTTAGCAAGACCCTGTCTCAAAATAAAAAGGACTGGGGCTGTAACTTAGTGATTAAATATCCCAGATTTAATCCCCAGTACCACCCACACTCAAAAAAGTTTTTTTTCATTATAGATTTTGGAATCGGTATGAGACTTTGTATAAAAATCCTTGCTATTTTGACAGGGGTTGTTGTGGGCTTACAGATTTACATGGGGAGAAATGGCATTTTAACAGTATCAAGTCTGTTTATTTTGCAGTAACAGAGATTGAACCCAGGGGCATTTTACCACTGAGCTACACCCCCAGCCCTTTTTATTTTATTTTGAGACAAGGTCTCACTAAGTGGTTGATGCTGCATTTGAACTTGGGATCCTCCTGCCTCATTCTCCTGAGTAGCAGGGATCACAGGTGTGTGCCACTGCCCCCGTCCAGTATCAAATCTTTAATCTTCATATATTCCCCCCACCTTTTTTTGGCTATCTTTGATTTCTCTCATCAGAGTTTTATATTTTTCAGGGTATAATTCTTCACATATTTTATTGGAATTACGCCAAATTTGTTGATTAGTAATCTAGTCTACCTAGTCCCAGTACTTAGTTCTTTAAATCAGTGCGTTATTGCTGGATTCAACAATTGACACTGAATTTTCTTATTTCATTGCTTGCTCTGTCTTCTCAATCTCATTTAGTTTGCAGTTATTCTTTCTCCCTTATTTAGAATACCATTAATAGGTTTAAGAGAAGTTCTTTTGTGTATTTGAATCTGTTTCTGAATTTTGTTCTGAGGTTTTGAAAGTGGGGAATAAACAAGAGCATTTTTTTTTTAATTAAAATGCCAGAATAAACCTCAGATAGATGAAATATATTAGTTACTTCTATTTTGGTGTGTATGTATGTGGTGCTGGGGTTTGAACCCAGAGCCTGTGCATGTGAGGCAAGCACTCTACCAACTGAGCTATATCCCAGCCCCGAATCAGTTATTTCTTAATATTGACTTTGTAGATGGTTCCCTCGTCTCTCATTTTGCACTGGGGATTGAACCCATAATCTAAGCATGCCAGGCAGTTGCTCTGCCACTGAGTGACACCCCAGCCCTTTTTATGTTTTTATTTTGAGACAGGGTCTCTGTAAGTTGCCCAGGCTGGCCTGGAGCTTGTGATCCTGCTGCCTCAGCCTCCCAAGAAGTTGGGATTATATGTGTGCACCACCCTACCCAGCTAGTAGTCATTTTTAAGAAAAATTTTTTAATATTATTAATTGATGTTTTTAATTTCTTATAGGATTAGATGACCATTTTAAAATATATGCAAAGTCTACTAGGGCTGTGCACTTTGGAACTTAACACAAGGGTTTAATTTTGTTACTCTTATTTAAAATAATGCTATTTAGAGTCACATAAATGCCAGTTTCTTATTGTTTTGTAGTTTATCTGGAAGAATGTGAACTGGCTAAACAGCTTCATCCAAAGGAAAATGATTTGGTGTTTTTGGTTCCTGAGAGACTAAATGGAGAGAAAAAAGATACAGAGAGAAACCGCTTGTATGATCTCCAGGAATATCACTGTGGTTATGTCCATAAATTCCGCCGCACTTCAGTTGGTAAGCAGATGATAAGGCAGTGTGAGAAGTCTGTGGATACAAGCTCATTTCCTTCCTAACTAACTCATGCTTTCCTAACCCTGTATTTGCTGCCTATTTGTCAAACAGGTACTTGGTATTGCCAGAGTTCCTTGTCAGAGTTTTTCTAGATTCAGTACCCTATATTTATTGCTATAGCTTTCTGATTTAAAAGCTTGCTTTTTCAGTATCCTCCTCTTTTCATGTCTTTATCTGTAAATTATGTTTGCTATTACACAGATCATTTGTAACCATCTGTTTGTTGTATCTTGAGTTACATTCCAGACTTGGTTTTTGACTAATTATGATAAGAAGACTAAACATGAAACTCATTAAAAGGTGGCTTGAGGAATATGCTCTTTCCATCATTCTTTGTCTATTATATGAGAGGGACTTCTTTACCAAAAATAATGCAGGCTTGGATTTGAATTTTACAAATACCTCTAATATATCAATGTGACTCATGCACATTTATAAACTTCTCCAAAGCCCTGTAAGTCAGTAGGAATTATTCCTTGTTCAGTAGGAAACCATGGCTCAGCAATATTAAGTAACTGTCCAAGATTGTTGTCAACATCAAGAGGTCAGTCCAGAATTGAAATGTAACCTTTTTTCCCCCCATGAGATATAGGTGTCTCACTTTGTTGTCCTGGCTGGTCTCAAACTGTTCCTTGGGCTCAAACGGTCCTCCTGCCTCCACCTCCCAGGTTTTAAGGGCCACAAACATATTCCACGATATCTAACTTGAAACCTCCTTTTGTTGGACTTCAGAGTCCACATTCTTTATTTTATGACAAGCTGCCTTTTTAACATCTGCAACTTGAATATGAAGAGAAGAACATGATTTCTTTATTTCTTCTCCTCCTTCCATTGAATCTTTTTTTTAAAATATATATTCTTTTTTTAATATATATTCTTTTAGTTGTTGATGGATCTTTTTTTTTTTAAGTGAGAGAGAGAATTTTTTAAATATTTATTTTTCAGTTTTCGGTGGACACAACTTCTTTATTTTTTTTTATGTGGTGCTGAGGATCGAATCCAGTGCCGCGTGCATGCCAGGCGAGCACACTACCGCTTGAGCCACATCCCCAGCCCATTGATGGATCTTTATTTTGTTTATTTATATGCAGTGCTGAGAATCAAACCCAGTGCCCCAGCCCATTGTATCTTAAAAAGTAGCAATAAGCTTGCCTTCTTAGACTATACGACAGATATCCCATGTTCATTAGTATGACCAGAGCTTAATTCTTTGTGTAGAGGTTATTTAGGAGAGTAGCTGCAGACAAGGCATAGTGGCACACACCTGTAATTCCAGCAAATTATTGGGAGTTTGAGGCAGAAGGATCTCAAGTTTTTGGCCAGCCTCAGCAATTTAGTGAAGCCCTAAGCAACTTAGCGAGACCCTATCTCAAAATATAAAAAGATTTGGAAATGTGACTCCCCTGGATTCAATCCCCAGTACAAAAAAAAAAAAAAAAAAAAAGATGTAGGACTTTATTTTTCTAAGAAGATCTCCTTCCCTGAATTCCTCACAGATAAAACTTTCTGGCTTCTCCATCTGGAGAAAGGTTAAGTGTTTCAAACCTATTAAGCCAACATGAACGCCTGGTTTCTGCCGGTCATCTGCTCTTCCTTTGCTCTGTCCTAAACCATTCTTCCATTTGCTCAGGCCAAGAGCCTTGGGCTCATCCATGGTCCATTCTTCCTCTCATACTGTATTTAATTCATCAGCAGATCCCATTGACTCTTTCTCTGCAGTGTATCCAAAATCTGGTCCTCACTTCTACATTCTGGTCCAAACTGCCAGTAGTTTTTCCTAGACTGCTGCAGTAGGAAGTGCTGCAACTTGTAAGTGGATTTTGGCGTTCGCTCATTGCAGCTTATTCTGAATAGTGTTCAGTCATCACTATGGTCTGTGGGTCCTATTTTATGTTGTAGCTCTTCTAGCAGTTTTCTCCCTTCTTTTCCTTCTAGCCATGTCTCTAAAATACTTGCGACACATCTGTGCCTGGTGACCTTAGTTGGTGGCTGTCCACCAGTAGCTCTCTTCCTCCCTGCTAACAGTGCGGCTTACTCCCTTACTTCAAGTCTGGGCCCAGGACCCTCCAGCATGAAGGCCTTCCCTGACCAGCCTGTGCCCATCCTCTTCCCTTTCTCATCCCCTTTTCTCTTTCTAGTACTTACAACCACAGAATGTTTATTTGGTATCTGCTCCCTTGTCTAGAAAATAAGTCTCTGGTGAGAGAAGCACATTACCTGGTTCTTAGGAAGCATTGAGTAAATATTTATTGAGTGAATTATTCAAATATTATATCATACAAAGACATGGGGAATATCTAATTCTGAATTAGGTATTCTGAATTCACTGGTAACTGATTTTTGCTTTTTCTCCTTCTTGATAATAGTGCGTAACGGGAAATCGGAGTGTTCCCTTTGCATCCAGACTCAAGATAACCTGCCAGCCAACCTGAATGACCTTATGAAATGCATTGTAATCAGTTCTCTGGTAACTACACAAAGGAAGTTGAAAGCCATGTCTCTGCTGAGTGGTCGGAACCAACTAGCCAGAGCCATTCTGTCTCCAAACCCTATGGACTTTTGTACTACAGATTTACCAACTATGACGTCTGAGAGAATTGTGAGTGCTGATTGTATACCAGGGAAGGTCAGGCACTATTATGTCAGAATGTTAAAATGTCATGTTTGTAGCTGCTTGTGCACTTTTGTGTGTCTACAAGATGTGCTCACTATGTGTATGCAGTAGTGTTTGGTATTTAGTTTTCTTCAGGATTGCAAAATGTGTAATTAGGCTGCTTACTCCAAGGAAGGTACAGGACAATAAAGAGTCAGCATCCTGCCGAAAGGTTTAGTAGGTGACCAGAATTCAAGAGGAGTCGTCTCTGGTTTCGTGGACTGAGCTTTGCCTTTGAATGATTGATAGTACTGTTGCAGATGCAAAGATGAAGTATGCACACGTGTTTTCCACCAAAGAGCAGTGTATAGATTCCAGAAAATCAACACAGAAAGGCAAAAGGAAGCTAATAATATTGAACCCCTCAATGTATGGAGCATTATTTCAGTCAGTTCTCACCTTTCAGAGAACCCTGGACTTCATTGATGGGTTGAGACTCAGAGAGTTTAGGAGTTTAGTGAACTAGCTTGAAAATAAAACTAAAATTTAGTCTCAGACCTGACCCTGAAATCCATGTTTTTTCTACTACATCACATTATGTAAAGAAAGAAATTGTCATGAAATATTTCTACTATGCAAGGAGAGAATTCACTAAATGGGAAAAAAAATAGAAGAAAAATATGAAAAATATAAATTAGTAAATGAAATTTACTGCAATTATTTCTGTAAGAATTACAAATTAAAAATACACTTGTACTTGTAAGTAGGCTGAAGACTACAAGTGCTAATTAGTAATTAGCAACTAATTAGCTTTCTTTCCAGTAGTTAAAGTGGTTTTTGGATTTAAGGTCACTTTAGGATCTTGCCTAGCTCCAACCAAAGCTTTTGTGTAGCACAGATTGGAAGAAATTGAAAAGTTTTCCATTACCTTTCTCACACATCACTACAAGGGAGGAAAAAAAACAGCTCATTCCCACAACTGTCTTTTTCTACAGATTGCCTACTTAAGAGATTTCAATGAAGACCAAAAGAAAGCAATAGAAACTGCATATGCCATGGTGAAACAGTCACCATCAGTTGCCAAAATCTGTCTGATTCATGGGCCACCTGGCACAGGAAAATCAAAAACTATTGTTGGCCTCCTTTACCGATTATTGACAGAGGTAGGTCTGGGGAGGACACTGGTGCTATTAACTGGGTGTGTTATTTTACTTTTCTTGAATCAACTGACATATAAATAAGTATTAAAGTATATTTTCCCCTTGTTTTTTATTTTGTTTGCAGTGCTAGGATGTGTATTTTTGACAACTCTGTAGAACTATATCAGGAAGGGGTGGCAGAGGGAGGAAAGAAGTCAGAAGGGCATTGTCTTATGTGAAGCAAGTCCTGAGAACTAGAGGATGTTCTTCAGGCTTCATTTTAGGCCACATGTGACACCAGGAAACCATTTCAAAATGTGTTCCTGAACTACGTGTTGGTTGTACTGAATAGTGATTAATGTAAGTGGATGGTATGTACAGTAAGTAAGGTGCATAGCAGTTAGGATAAAATTTTATGGCAATGATTTTAATATCAATGTAAGATGTAGATGCTTTTACTTATTTTTAACTATTATGGGAGCTTTTGAACATACATGGAAATAGAGAAAAACCTTAAAACCTTGTAATAGAGCTCATCAGATTTTGTGTGTGTGTCTGTCTGTGTGTTTGGCTTATGGCAAATTGTAGAACCAGAGGAAGGGGCATTCAGATGAAAACTCCAATGCCAAAATCAAACAGAACCGTGTACTTGTGTGTGCACCTTCTAATGCAGCTGTTGATGAGCTCATGAAAAAGATCATCCTCGAGTTCAAAGAAAAATGCAAAGACAAGAAGAATCCTTTGGGTATGATAATCGTATGGGTTTTTAATTTGTTTTCTGTTTTCAGTGTTTGGTGTGGGCAACTTTGAATGAAAAAGAGCCAGTTATTCCTGGTGACAACATCTGCCTGGGTCACTGCCCATATGTACTTGCTGGTTCATTTAGCATATTTTTTATTGAGCATTTACTCTGTGGAAGTCATGGTGCCAAATACTGAAGTTTCAACATTGAAACCTTCAAGGTGACATACGATGTAATGAGGTCAATGGGCAATTATAGTATAGAGTGATAACTTCTATAATGGGACTTAAACATGGTATATTTTCAGGCAATTCTGAGAGACCCTTGATTCAGTTGTCTGAGGGTTAGGGAGGGCTTTTGGAGGAAATGATATCTATGATATCTAAGATGAAAACAGAAGAGCACTTAGGAGTTGGCCACAGGACATAAGGGAGGAGGGGACTCAGGCAGAGGTAGGTCTAAATAAAAATCAGGTAAGAGAACCTTGGGAAGTAAAGGGTCCATGAGGTAGGGGCTCCGGCGTGTTCACTGTAGCCCCTCCAGAACACTGCCCAGCACTCAGTCAAGGCTCTCACGTGACTGAAGAGCTAGGGCCTTGGGGGCTGATGAAGATAGGCTGACGTCGAGCAATGGCTTTTGAAAGCAATAAAAACAATCATAGTTCATAGTTATTGCGTGTTTGTGTGTGAGCAGTCCTCAGAATCATCCTGGGAGCTGGTGTCAAACAGCCCTACTTTCTGTGTCTGGCTGGGGGAAGCTGAAGTGTAGAGATGTTCTGTGCACCATAGGAGTAACGTTTTGTTGAAATGCACATAATTGTGATGAGTATTGCTACAACTGATTCAGGATACTTGGATGAAGATGTAAAATTCTTTTTTTTAATTAATTTTAACTCTCTCTTCATACCACTCATTTTCAGAGATATTGCCCTGGCTTTATGTTATACTACTTTCTCAAGCTCGTGGAATACCTTGTGTTCTCCACCAGATTTTATTTTCCTTGAGGGTAATTGACATTGCCTTTTATCAATTAGAATTAGAATCAGTTGCAAATAATCTAAATACAGTGGCTTAAATATGATAGATTTTTTTTTTCTAATTTCAAATTCAAAAGCCCAGAAGTGGGCAGTTGAGGACTTGGTACTAGTAACACTGGTTCAGTCTTTAGAGACCAAGGCTCCTTGTTATCTTGTTGCTCCATTGTGTCTGGCCACTTTAGTGCATCTCATGGTCAGAAATAATGCCTCAGCTCCAGTAATCACATCTATTAAGCATGAGGAAAGAGTTGATAAAGCAACAAAGGGAGTGTACTAGCCATATTTTAAGAAGGGTTCCTAGATACTGTCAGTAGCAACTCTACTTCCTCTTGGCCAGAAATGACGTGGGACACCTCAGTACAAGAGAGAGTGGGACATGTGATCTTTATTGTGAGGAATCATATTCTTTTTTCTTCTACAACATATGCACTTTTACTATTACACAGAGTGCATTTATTCTTAAAACTTTCCAGTACATCATCAGTCTACAACTTGCCTTTGCATGTTAGATTAGTGATTTTATGTATAGCTGTGGTCATTCGTATTGACAGCTACAGGCTACCTTCATTGTATGGGTTCACAATTTATTCATTAGCCATGGATTAGAATTGTGGGTTCTCGTCAGTTTTCATTTCGCACTTCATATTGCAGTAATTGTTCTTGTACTTGCACATGTTCTCCAGTGTGGGTGTAGAAACGCCTGCTGCTGTGCACGGTGTGCAATGTAGTGGAGCACTCCCAGCACAGCATGCAGAATTGGATCTGGTGTGTGCAGGGCTTTGATCACTTAGTGGATTGTAAAGTCAGCGTAGGGATACCTAGAAAGTTAAAACAGAACAGAAGAAAGTAGAAGGATCAGACCATAGGTCTGAGGATAAATACTGCCTAATGAAACTTGTTTCTGTTTTGAGAGGTGTGGGAATACTCTGGGTTTCACATTTGTCTGTCTAGAAGTGAAAATGTGGTTGCAGTGTTTGTACATTTCCCGTTTCCTAAATAGTGTCAGATTCTTAAAAGTGGCTGTGCTTGCTTGCCCTCCTGAGCACAGTTCCCACGTAGCGCACATGTGGTGATTCAGTGTTAGCTTGCTTTCCCTGCCTGCCTGAGGGTAAGCTTCCTGGCATGTTTGTGGTTGAATGGCACACAGGGGCCAGGGTGAGGATGAGCCAGGTGTCTAGGTTGGATGTTTTTATTTCTTATCAGAGAGCAAATATTATCTTTTCTGTAAGAAAAGAGAACTTTTTTCCCCCAGTACTTTCTCTCTCTTTTGATACTGGGGTGGAACCCAGGGGCACTTTATCATTAAGGTACACGCCTAGTCCTTTTTTATTTTTTATTTTGAGACAGGATCTCATTGAGTTGCCCAGGCTGACCTTGCACTGGGATCTTCCTACCTCAGCCTCACCAGTTGCTGGCATTACAGGTGTGCACCACCCCGCCTGACTCCAGTGCTTTCTTCTTCACTTTTCACTAATTGCAGTGGTCCTGGGTGTTTTTAAAGAAATGCCTTGGACATTGCTCCATTAAGTATGATGCTTGCTTCTGGGTTTCATAGGTACACTTGAGCAAGTTAAAGAGTTCTAGTCCTATTAGAGTTTTTTTCCTGAAAAAATGTTGGATTTTGGGCTGAGGTTGTTGCTCAGTGGTAGAGCATTTGCCTAGCATGTGTGAGGCACTGGGTTTGATCCTCAGCACCACATGAAAATAAATAAAGTTATTGTGTCCATCTACAACTAAAAGTATTTTTTTTAAATGTTGGATTTAATTTCATGTTTTTTTTTACATCTATTGAAATTGTAATGAAGTTTTTAATTTCTTAATATGGCAAATTATTTTGTCTAATGTTAAAATCTGATTCCTAGAATAGGGTCAACTTGTCTTGTATTAGCTTGTGTGCAGGGATGCTGTAATGGAGCTTGAACCCAAGAGCACTATCACTTAGCCCCATCCCCAACCCTTTTTTTTTTATTTGGAGGCAGGGTCTTGCTAAGTTGTCCAGTCTAGCCTCAAACGTGGAATCCTTCTGCCTCAGCCTCTAGAGTCACTGGGTTCATAGGCCTGTGCCACCATGCCTGGTTCGTGCATTTCAGTGTTTTTAACAAATTGCTCAATTGCTAATATTTTGTTTAGGTTTTTTAAGAGTAGTGTTCATAAGTGAAGCCAGCCTATAATTTTTCTTTAGTAATAATATCTTTCTCTAGTTTGAGTACTGAAGCTATTCAGACTTTTTAAATGAATTGATTTTTTTGTATTTATTCTTATGAATCAGCAAAACTCACTCAAATTTAGAAAAATTGAATAGAGCTATAATTATTAAAGGTATTTAATACATTAAAAACCTACCTATGTCAAAAATTAGACTAAAAATAAAATACTAACAAAATGAAAAGAGAATTCATCCTATATATATAACAATTCCAGTTTTTCAAGATAATTTTCTACTTTAGGTTAGGTTTTTATATATATAGATAGGTATAAATTTGTTTATTTTGTTCTCATTTTTAAAAAGCACAACTGTGTTTCTGATTGGTTCCCTTTGTTGTTTGTTTATGATTGGCTCCCCTTTATCATTCCCTGTATTATGTGTTTATTAACTAAATCCACATGTGGCACAGACTTGTGGTTGGAAAGTTCCAGAAGAAATTTCTTTTCCCCAGCAGATCCCATACCAAGACAGATACACTTCTTTTTCATCCCTCTACTTCTTCCAGGTCCTTTTGCTTCCTGATGGGCATTAAATTCCAAGCCCCCATTATCAAAATTTCTGTATTTTTATTGGAATGGTAGTTTTGCCAATGGAGACACTTTCCGAGTTCATAGGATTAAAGATTTTAGAAATCTCTGCATTCTACAGAACATAGATCATACTTAGTAATGTTGATTTGAAGCGCAAAACAAACACTCCCCCATCATGCAAACGATATCTCTCATAGCTTTGGGAGCATTTCTGGATAGAGGAGGTGAGCCTCCAGGTGATGTCATCTCCCTTTCTGCTGGACACACAAGTGAAACAAGTGCAGTTTTGAAACCCCCAAGAAAACGTTGGCCAGAGAAGGTGGCTGCAAATTAAGAAGAATGGGCTATTTAAATAAAGTACTCACTTAGCATATATTGAGTGTATTGTGTACCAGCCACTATTTTAGGAAGTGACCAAAATAAAATCCTATTTTCATGGAACTTAGGAAGGACAGTGAACAGGCATCTGTGTGGTGTATCAGTAGGGATAAAGTGCTGATGAATCTGTAGGGTTGCTCTAACCCATCCCTGTGATGCCTTTAGAACTGTTTAAATAAAAATAATAAAATGTGGTAACCAGAAATAAAAATTGGTTAATAAATTGTCCAGCTATATGATGTTTACCATTTGTGAAATTTTCATCATCTTGTGTCCCTCAAATGTAACAGGAAGCATAGTTTTATTTATATTTTGTGGTACTGGATGTGGAATCCAAGGCCTTGAGCATGCTAAACTAACATCCTCAGTCCCTGGAGCATAGTTTTAAAACCTTTCTGAGTATTCTGCAAAAAAGGATTTGATTATCAAATAAGATTGTTTTGGAAATTCAAATACATAGTCATACATGAAAATCCTTGAAATAGTCTTTGGTTATGAAAACTGCTTTATTTTAACTCACCATTTCCCAAGTATTTTATTGTGATTGTTACACAGAACATAATTTGAAAAGCATTAGTATAATATAATCTCAGCTCTGCAGTGTACTGTTTATGTAATCTTGCTGGCTTTTATTAGGTAGAAGTGATAAGTACTCGCCCTGTGGGGTTGTTGAGAAGAATATCTGAAACAGCACTGAATTTGAGAATCTGTTGTGGCCCCTGCTACCTAGTTAACAGTTTGTGTTAACCCCCTTCTGACTGTTAATATATTTGCTTAGAAATAGATATTATTTATGGAGACAGGATTTATTGATAGTGTCCTTATTAATCTTTAACTGTGATTTTTTAAAAATATTTATTTTTTAGTTTTTCAGGTGGACACAATATCTTTTTTTTAAGAGAGAGAAAGAATTTTTAATATTTATTTTTTAGTTTTCGGTGGACACAATATCTTTGTTTTGTATGTGGTGCTGAGGATCGAACCCAGTGCCTCATGCATGGTAGGCAAGCGCTCTACCACTGAACCACCACCCCAGCCCTTTAACTGTGATTTTTATCAACAGGAAACTGTGGTGATATTAATTTAGTACGACTGGGTCCAGAAAAGTCTATTAACAATGAGGTCCTGAAATTCAGTCTGGACAGCCAAGTCAACCACAGAATGAGTAAGTGCTAAATATGGCATACCCTTGTGTTTTTGTTTCCTTTGTGTGGTAAAGATATTGTTCGAATTAGCATGTGATTTTTCTTTTCTATTTTTTAGAAAAAGAGTTACCTTCTCATGTTCAGGAGATGCATAGAAGAAAAGAGTATCTAGATCATCAGCTTGATGAGCTTTCACGCCAGCGAGCTCTGTGCCGAGGAGGACGGGAAATACAGGTATGGAAACATTTCTTAATGCTTGATCTTTAGTGATAATTCAGAGATGCACAGTTTATGAGGATTTTATGTCATTTTATTGGCAAATGGCATGATTCATATGTAAAGATGTATACAAAAGTGGTATTCCTTATATCAGGGGTTAGCAAGCTTTTTGTACAGGCAAGAAAATACATTTGTGGCTTTTTGAGCCATTTGGTCTTTGTTGCAGCTACTGAGCTCTGTTGTACTTGGAAAGCCATCATAGATAATGTGTAAACAAATGGATGTGCTGTATTTATGTGCAAAACCAGATGGTGTATTGAATTTGGCCCATAGGCCAAATTATATTAAAGGTACACTGAATTTATTAGGTGTCATTCAGTTGTAAGTTAAACCCAGTTCAAATTAGGTTAAATAAGAAGAAAATTTATTGGCTCATATACCTGGGAAATCCAGGAGTGGATTAGCTTCAGATATGGCTGGATCCAGAGGCTCAAATGATATTATTTCTCCACCCCTTGATCTGTTTTTCTCTGTGTGTCACCATTTCTTCTCCAGGAGAAGACAAGTGCCAGCATTCTCTGGGCTCCACCATCCCAGCTTAGAAACCCCAGAGAAGGTCTCTCTCCCAGCATCTATGCATCAGTTCCAAGGAAGTACTCTGATTAGTCCCTGGGTAGCCAAGCAGGTCTAATCCCTGTAATTAAGGGAATGGGTGCCATGATTTGCCAGCCAGCGTTGTATTGTGTGCTCATCTTGTGGCTGGAGGAATGGTTGGGGTGTGATTGACAACCTCATTTGAACCACCTGGAGATGAGTGGAGGAATGATGCCCCAGGGGTAGAATGCTAAGCAGACAAATAGCATGCATGACTGCGTCTTGCCCAGCAATGCCGAGAGTGGGTCCAGACTTAACTGGTAAAGAGAAAACAAGCTGGGTTAAGTTTGTCATTGGTAAAATATTTTTAGGCTCATTCTTTTCACATATGAACAGTCCATTGGAAAGCACTGTGATGTGCTGAGTTTAGTTTTAATGATGGCATTCTGATTTTCTTCCAGAGGCAAGAATTAGATGAAAAAATTGCCAGAGTTTCAAAAGAAAGGCAAGAACTTGCTTCTAAAATTAAAGAGGTAAGTACTTCACTTATGGCATTTTCTTGTTTTCTCATGTTATGAAATAGTTCACACAACTTATGGGCTTTTTTCAAGTTTTTTTTTTTTTTTTTTTAAGAGAGAGAGAGAGAATTTTAATATTTATTTTTTAGTTTTGGGCGGACACAACATCTTTGTTTGTATGTGGTGCTGAGGATCGAACCCGGGCCGCACGCATGCCAGGCGAGTGTGCTACCGCTTGAGCCACATCCCCAGCCCCTCAAGTTGTATTTTTAAAAGTATTCATTGTGCAAACACTTACAGAATTGGAAAAAAAAAATAGTGTAATGTCCTTTCTCCCTTTAACCCAAGAATGAATGAATTTGCACATTCTGAGATTTCTTTTCTTTTTTTTTTTTTTTTTTTTTTTTTCCCAGAGTGGGGAGGGTATAGGGGTTTGAACTCAGGGACACTCGACCACTGAGCCACATCCCCCACCCTGTTTTGTATTTTATTTAGAGACAGGGTCTTACTGAGTTGCTTAGGGCCTTGCTTTTGCTGAGGATGGCTTTCTTTCTTTCTTTCTTTCTTTATTTAATGGACCTTTATTTTATTCATTTATTTATACACCATGCTGAGAATTGAACCCAGTGCTTCACATACAAGGCAAGTACTCTAACACTGAGCCACAATTCCAGCCCTGAGGCTGGCTTTTGAACTTGGAATCCTCCTGTCTAGGCCTCCTGAGCCACTAGGATTACAGGCATGAGCCACCATGCCCTGCACGTTCTGATATTTCTAAGAAAGAGGTGATTGTAGTTTTTTTGTTTTGTTTTGTTTTTAGTTTTTTTCCTCTTTTAGACCTGGATAAATATGAATAATACCTCTTAGAATGTGCCTTCTTTCTCTTTCCTACCTCCTGCAAAAAACAATTGTTATGATAATTGCTATCCCAAATGAATAGTTGATGAATCTAGGTATGTGGGTGTTTTTTTCCTTGAGAAAGAAAGAAAACCACATGTGTGAGTTTTAGGACAAGGGTGGCAACTGTGAGGCCTCTAGAGTTCCACTCTGTCTTGATTTTTGTTTTTTGGTTTTTGGGGGGTGGGGGGTTACTTGGAATTGAACCCAAGGGCATTTTACCACTTAGCTACATCCCCAGCCCTTTTTATTTTGGGGGATGGAGTCTAAGTTGCTTAGGGCCTCACTAAGTTAGGGCTGGGCATAAGGACAGCTTGATGCCCCGCCCCGTTCTTGGCTTAAAGCATGCTCTTTGTGCTTATCTTCCAGGACACACCACACACACACAAACACACACACACAAACACCAAAATCTAAGGATGCTCTTGTATATAACCTATGCTCATTCATGTATAGATAGATGACTTATAATACCTAATATAATATAAATGCTATGTAAATAGTTACCCAACTGTATTTTTCAGTGAATAATGACAAGGAGAAAAAGCCTGTACATACTCAGTATGGATGCATTTTCTTTGCTAGATATTTTTAGTCCACAGTTGGTAGACTTCCTAAATGTGGTCCTCACAGGTACACAGAACTAACTATATAGCTGTTTCTCATATTCTTTGGATGTAAAAACATTAGATAAAAATTAGACTAATTGAAGCTAGGCTGAACCAGGTGATCATCAGAATGTAGCCCTATCAAGTCAAGCAGGTTCAAGGGGGAGAGGGCAATAGCAACTGCTAGTGTTAGTATTTTTGAGCTGAGAAAAAGCAGTTCAATTTAATTCATATTTCCATTTACAATTTCTTTATTTAAACTAAAAAAAATTATGTGAAGACTTGGGTTGTGGTTCAGTGGTAGAGCGCTTGCCTTGCAAGTGTGAGGCACTGGGTTCGATTCTCAGCACCACATAAAAATAAAATAAAGATATGTCCACCTAAAACAAAAAAAGAAAAAATATTAAAAAAAAATTAAACTGAGCCCCAAATTAATCTTTACAAATTTAAGGATGAAGTTCATTTTCCTATGGGCTGTTAAAATTGTGTGTGGCAGGTTACTTTCTGAATGGCTGAGAGGAAAAGTATCTGACAATATTTTACCTGTGTGCACTAGAGGGCCCTGTTTGCACCCTGTTCCTAAAGCTCACATACCTTGAAATCCAATGGGATGAGTCGCTGCTACTTCCAAGTAGCCAAATTAGGCAAACTGAACTTCTAATAAGAATGTCAGTTTATTAACTTGAGTGCTAAAGGAACTTGGTATACAGTGTAAGGTGTTGTGCCTATTGGCCTTCATCAGAGAGGTAGATCAAGGTGGTTTTTCTTACTGTGGAAGTAAAATATTTGTCTGGTTCACAGGCATTTTTGTTGGTACTAGCTTTTATAAAGCTACAATATTATAGTAGATACTTAAAAACTAAGAGAAAAAATGTTCATTCGCGCTTAGTTCTAATCCTGGTTTTATTCAGATAATTGCTTCACAACTCAGAATTATTTAATGTCTACTTGTGCTGATGCCTGCTTTTATACATCAGGCTACAAGAAGCATTGTAATCTACTTTGACCAAATCAAATTGTAAATAATTTTTTAAAATACACCTGTGCCTAAGTCATATTTTGAGCTTAGACTGCAAAGTACAGTGTTCTTTTTGGTAGCTTCTGATTATCTTGAATGCTGTCCTGCTGTTTTGTAGATCAGAAGCGTCCCCTAAATTTTAATGAGTATTAAAAATTAAAAAATATTAAAATTAAAATAGTGGGTGATTTATAGTAAATAACCTTATTGTGGTTAGGGTTTATTTACAACTGAGAGTGATGGACCTTTCTTTGTCCCCTTAGGTTCAAGGTCGCCCACAAAAAACACAGAGCATCATCATTTTGGAGTCCCATATCATCTGCTGCACTCTGAGCACAAGTGGTGGTTTGCTGCTGGAGTCTGCTTTTCGAGGGCAGGGGGGTGTCCCCTTCAGTTGTGTCATCGTTGATGAGGTCAGTGAGCATTTGGCCACACTGCTTTGACTTGTGCTGTGAGGAGTGAGTCCTAAATAATTGTAGGTGCTGAGATGTTAATAAAATATTTAACATCTGATTTCTACTTGCCATTATATGTGTATTTTCTTACATTGTAATATGCTGTTAATGGTCCACTCTAATGAAACTGCCTTTCCAGTATTGGATTGTACTCTTTTTTTTTTTCCCCCTTGGTACCAGAGGATTGAGCCACATCCCCAGCCCTCTTTTTTTTTTTTTAAGACCCTAAGTTGCTTAGGGTCTTGCAAAATTGCTGAGGCTGATTTTGAACTTGGTGATCTTCCTGCCTCAGCTTTCTGAGCCGCTGGGATTATGGGCATGCACCACCCAGTTTGGGAGTGCAGTTTTAAGATTGCCTGATTGTTTTTTTAACAAAATCCCTGTTGAGTGACTTTTTATTTACTTTTTTTTTTTTTTTAATTCTTATTTCTTTTTAAAGAGAGAGAGAGAATTTTTATTTTTTTTACTTTTCGGCGGACACAACATCTTGTTTGTATGTGGTGCTGAGGATCGAACCCAGGCCGCACGCATGCCAGGCCAGCGTGCTACCGCTTGAGCCACGTCCCCAGCCCTTGAGTGACTTTTTAAATCCTACTTGAAACTTCTGGTTACCTTTAGAAGTACTTATTTGTATCTAACCTACATACTTCCTCCTTTGTGCTTTAAATCATCTCTGGCTTTCTTATTTATAACTTCAGATGACTTTCAGCCTTAGTGTTTACAGCTAACATCCTTTATTCTTAGTTTATTTTCATTTAGCATACCTTTATTGGGTAATTGCTATTTTCCAGAATGAAAAGTCAGGTAAGGTATGGAATATGAGAAACAGAGAATTGATCCAAAAGATCCAAGATCCAATAATCGTACCCCATAAATATGTACAGTTATGCTCATAACTGTACAAAGTTCAAAGCCAGCCTCAGCAAAAGTGAAGTGCTAAGCAACTCAGTGAGACCCTGTCTCTAAATAAAATACAAAAATAGGACTGGGGATGTGGCTCAGTGGTCGAGTGCACCTGAGTTCAATCCCCGGTGCCCCCCCGCACACCAAAAAAAATAAAAAATAAAAATAAATTTTAAAACAATATTTGCCAAAATGAAAAAATAGAGAAAGTGAAAGTTATGAAATAATTGAAGAAAATGCCACTGGATTAAAGAGAAACTTGAATGTCGTGATTGAAGCATCCTACTGAGGACAGGGAGGAAAGATATACAACACCTAGTGTATCTCTTGAACTTCAGAGATGAAGGTTCTAAAAGAATTTCAGAGGGGAAAAAATTTTCCCAGCTTCATGCCCAGCAGGAACAAAGAACACAAACCTAGAACGTGCATAACCTTGTAATTTGCTGGTTCCCAAGTGATAGTAGTGTCTGTTGTGGCTAATTTCAAAAAATATGTTGTTTTGTTTTAATTGTGCTTAGAAAATTTGATTTTTGTTGTTGTTGTTTTGTTTTCTTTTTTTTTTTTTTAAACATTTATTTATTTATTATGTGGTGCTGAGGATAAAGTCAGTGCCTTACCCGTGCTAGGTAAGCGCTCCACCACTGAGCCCCAGCCCCTGTTGTGTTTTTTTTTTTTCTTTTTCTTTTGGGGGGGTACCAGGGATTGAACTCAAGGGCCCTTGACCACTGAGTCACATCCCAGCCCAATTTTGTATTTTTATTTGGAGACAGGGTCTCACTGAGTTGCTTAGTGCCTCGCCCTTGCTGAAGCTTTGAACTCATGATCCTCCTGCCTCAGTCTTCCTAGCTGCTAGGATTACGTGCCCAGCTGTTTTTTTGTTTTCTCATAAAAAAAAACCTTCTCTTTGGTATAGAAATGGTGTGGTACTTTTATGAATGGTGGATAAATAAGTAGCAAAGGTAACTAAGACTGCTTCTTCCCTCTGCTCTCATCCAGGCCGGGCAGTCTTGTGAAGTGGAGACTCTCACACCGCTCATTCACCGCTGCAATAAGCTCATCCTGGTGGGCGACCCCAAGCAGCTCCCTCCCACAGTCATTTCCATGGTGCGTTGCATTGTTCTGTACAGAAGCTGAAGGGGCTTTTTTGTCGTCGGTTTTCAGAAGGTGGTTCTTTCTTAGATTGTCATTTCTTGTATGGAGGGAAAATGCCATATTTCACTGCATAATCATCACCACTGCATTAACACATATTCACAGGTATTCTATGTATCCTAATCTTGCACCAAAGACAGTTAAGCAGTAAATGATTTTTAAGTAACACTGACAGTTTTTTTTTAAGCATCTCATTATGGTTATACCCCATTTTTTTGCAAAAAAATAAAAAATTGGCATGGTGATTATGTGGTAAAATATAGTAGGACATGAGAAAACAGAATAAGTGCTTGTCTGAGTCTTAATAAGTAAAAATCTCTGCTAGGGTCCCTTTGTCCATTGTTGGGCTTATTATGGTTGGGGTTTAGAGCACGTAAGCATTGGAGACAGGAATCCTAGATGGACTAGTCCATGTGCACCAGTGTTCCAAGGAAAAGGAAAACTGCAGCTACTTTAAGGGCTATATTTGGTATATTTTATTTTATTTTGTACCAGGAATTGAACTCAGAGGCACTCTACCACTGAGCCACATCCCCATCCTTTTTTTTATATTTTATTTAAGAGACAGGGTCTCACTGAGTGACTTAGCACCTCACTGTTGCGAGGCTGGCTTTGAACTCACTATCCTGCCTCAGCCTCTGAGCCCGCTGGGATTACAGGCACACGCCACCACACCCAGCTTATATTTGGTATATTTTAATAACACAAACACTAAAACATAAAAGAAAAACTTTATGGTGCAAGAAAAAGAATCTGAGCCTTCCTGATATATTTAATTATGCTCAAATTTGAGGAAAGCACCATAAACAGATTATTTGGGGATACATATTCAATTTTAGAATTCTTTCTTCCATTGAACAAGAAAACAGCTATGCCCTCACATCATTTGAAAGTGAAGATAACAGAAAAAGAAATCTTCCTTGTTGTAGATCCTGCCTACAGGGAGTGTGTACCTGGATTGCAGTCCATCCAGGCTTTTTTTACTCCTACTAACGTGCCTCCCAGGGATGGACATCACAGCTGGCGTTCAGTGGACGGCTGGGGTCATCTGAATAGGCCTAGACCGTAGTTTTGAAATTTAGTGTGTTCTTTACTGATATATAATTTATACAAATATGAGAGTAGTAATAAAAGAGTAGTGGCCTTGTAATCCCTCGTAATGGGTCATTTTCAGAGTATTTCTTTTCAATTTTGGGACATAATTGGCATGTGGTTTTTGTTAATGCTTTTTTCCTTCAAATTATTTAAAAGCATAGCACAACCCCTTGTATGACATCTGAGCACAGGTACACGAGCAGGCTAGTAGCCCAGAGACACACCTGTCTCCGAGTGAAAGCCTGTGTCTATGAGAAGAGCGGCTGCGGCTTTGCTCATGAAGAAGAGTGAAGAGTGAGCACTACCACAGCTCTCCCATATCATGTAGGGCTCCCAGAGTTTACTTGATGTTACTTCTGGAGGGGCCTCAACATGCAGTGAGAAGGAATTGTTAGTTGGTTTCGACTTGACTGCCTACTTTGATACTTGATAAAAACTGCAAGAATGGTAAAAATCTGTCTATTTGTGCTTTTTAATTATCAAACAAATAGAACAGGCTTATTGAGGGAAGTTTATTACAAAGTTAATTTCCATACAATGCCTTTCTAGCCATCTCTTTCCAGGGCTAATTACTGTGAGTAGTGTTTCACCAGATTTTTGAGGACAGTCTCTGCACACTTACTCATTCTTTTCAGTATGTGTGTGTTGAGTGCCAGCATAATTCAGCACTGTTTCAGATGTGGAGTTTTAATAGTGAAGAAAACAGACAGAATTCCTGCCCTCCTGGAGCTTCTGTTCCAGTGAATAACAGACAGTAAAACAAGTCACTGAAATAACAGTATAAGATGGTTATAAGGTTTGTATGCCTGAATGGGTTTATATGTAGGATTTTGTTTTAAGTGTGGTGGGATAGTTCTATGCACAGTGGCTTTCTTTCAATCAGTAAATAGATCCAGGGACATTCTTTTATGTCAGAATATATAAATAAATCTATGTCATTTTGGACTCAAGTTTTTTTTCCTCGAGTTCGATGTGCTATCCTGTATAAGTTTTTTCTCTGATTTCCCAAAGATTCCAAATTAGATTTGGGGTTAATTCAAATAAATAAAAACTTTGGGGGATATAGATGAAACTGTTAAATTTCTGGTAATAATAATTTTAATTACACAAATTTATTCAAAATAACATATATAAATAAAAAGTATATATTAAGAAGTATGGCTTTGTTTTTCAGTATCATAGGTTGTAAAACAGCCTTATTCAAGTTTTACACAGACTTCTTCAAAGCAAATATCTTCAGCCTCACTCAGGAAGATTTTTAGAATTCTGAATGATGCTGTCATTGAAAATTATATCCCAAGGCCTAACTGTGATAACATTAAGTCAGTTTTCTTCATTTGTCATTTATATCATGGTTTTTCACAATGCTGGTTGTAACTCAGTATTTGATTTGTGAAATCATTTTAGTGTGTTTGCAGTCTGCTCCCCCACTAGAATGTAGGTTCTGTGAGACTTGATCTGATTTACCTTAGCAGTCTCAGTACTCCAGATTGTAGATGTTCAGTGCATACTACATGAGTGAATGAAGATATGGGTCTTGTAATGGCATTCAGTGATTCTACAAATGAAGGGTATACCCCAGAAATAATTGTTAAAATTTGCATTAAATTTCTTGGCTTCATTCATCATTGATTTTTTTGGATGGCTTTTGTTAACATCACAATAGCACTGGTTGTGTTCATTTCCAAGATCATGTCCCTTTCATAAACAGTGTGTAGGTGTTCTAAAGAAGGAGAAAGTACCTCGGCTTATTTATTTATTTATTTATTGGTGGTGCTGGGGATTGAATCCAGGGCCTTGTGCATGCGAGGCAAGCACTCTACCAGCTGAGCTACATCCCCACACACATTAATTTATATTCAAGAGTTTTTGAGAATCAGAACCAGACACATCTCCTTTCTCTGAATCTGTGATTGTTGGTAATCTTATACCACCTGAACTGCCATATTCATATTAGAGCTCAGTAGTTGCTTTTATAATTGTGAAAAAAGTATAAACAATTTTTTTAAAATTATTGCTGTATTTCTCCCCCTCTTAGAAAGCACAGGAGTATGGCTATGACCAGTCAATGATGGCTCGCTTCTACAAACTGCTGGAAGAGAAAGTAGAGCAGAACACGATTGGCAGACTGCCGATTTTACAGCTCACTATTCAGTACAGGATGCATCCAGACATATGTCTCTTCCCTTCTAATTATGTTTATAACAGAAGTTTGAAAACAAATAGGTGGGTTTCCCATTGCTTGTAAGTTTTTGTTTTGTTTTGTGTATTTATTTTTGTAGGTTTAACTGTTTAAATAGCCATTTAACTGTCCTTAACTTTTATTATTAATTTCCTCTAATAATTGGTGCCAACATGTTGACTAGATCAAGTGCAGATGAACAAAGTGAGAAGGGCGAGAACTCACCCATATTTATGCTACCCAGAAGTAATCACTGAAGGTGTTTCAGCCTCTCTTTCCAGTCTCATGTTGGGGGGTAGAGGTGGTGGTGCTGGAGCGGGAACCCAGGGCCTCAGGCTATACGCCTACCACTGAGCTGTAGCCCCAGCCCTCCAGTCTTTCTGTGCATGTCTTTTACTTTCTTTTTAAATTTTGAGGGAAAAAACTGAACCTTACTCTACATAGTGTTCTGTGGGTTGCTTTTTTGTTACAGTGTTATGAGTAACTTCCCAGTCATAATTGTTCTACATTTTGATGACATAAATCACTTTGCCTAAGGCTGGGATATAGTTCAGATGGTAGAGTGCTTGCCTCGCATGCACAAGGCTCCAGCACCACCAAAAAAAATAATAATGATCACTTTTCCTAGCACCAGAATAGAAGTAAAATCTATTTTGTATGTTTTACCAGAAAGTCTCTCTTATTCCCTTACTTTCTGCAGTCCCTGCGCCCTCCCGAACACACACACACACACAAACACACACACACACAATGGTGGTAATAATATAAAATTTGTACTTGTATCTTACATTCTGAATGGTACTGCTTTTCTATAGGCTGACTGAAACCAACCGGTGTTCATCAGACTGGCCATTCCAACCTTACCTTGTGTTTGACGTTGGAGACGGTTCAGAAAGACGGGATAATGAGTATGTTCTCTTTATTTATTCCCCAGTGAAGGTTTCAGAATTCTACATTATTCTGATTTAGATTTGTATTAAAAATGTTTCCCATGCACATCTCTGCCTCGTGCCAGAGCACTGTCAAGAGCTTGTCCTTTCTCTGTGTCAAGGGGTGATGTTCCTACTTGAGGAGCCACATGTGGAGTTGGGGCAGTGAGTGAAGCAGACAAGCCCCTTTGTGAGGCTGCTGTGGTCTGAGGGGGAGACAGGTGTTAATCAGGCAGTCTCCTAGATGAGTGGTCATTTCAGAAGCGTTGAATGCCATGAAGGAAAAGATAGATTCATTTGAATTAAAGTGGAAGTGGGAGTAAGGAAGTAGAGACAAAAGTTGGGTGGGATACTTTAAGAATCTGGGGTGAGGAATAAGGGACCATGTTCAGGCTGTTTATAACTAACAGCAGAAAGGAGTGGTGGTATTGCTAAGTAGCGGAGATATCAGAGGAGCCAGGGATTCTTATGAGAGAGCAGGGGAGGAATAGTCCAGAGGCAGCATTTGTTAACCCACGTGCAAACACTGCCTCCCCAACATGAGGTAGGAAATGCAGCTTCCACTCTGCCAGAAAGGACTGCAGAGCAGGTACCATCCTCAGATGAGAAGCAGGTATTAAGGTAAAGAGGGGGAAGGGGAAACATTCAGTACAGAAGTTAAGACAGAGAAGGAGTCAGCTGTCAGATTACAGATAATGCCCTGACAGCTTGTAGGAGTAATATTGACCAGAGAGGCTTGACCCAGGAAGCAACCTGCCGCAGTCTGGCTGGGCACAAATGCCGCAGTCTGGCTGGGCACACAATCACGAGCCACCACACAGCTTGTAGATTCAAACAGCAACTCTTTATTCCCGAACTGACACCAGCCGTCTACAATCACGTTCTGGGGAAATCCACATTCTCTGCCCAAATCCACCTCCACTGGGCTTCTAACTCCCAAAAAATACTGTCTGAATCCCGTGAGAACTCAAGGGGAACTCAGGCAGCAGGATACGCCCTATTCCAAGCAGGAATAATCTTAAACTGGGAACACCCTAATCCCGGATCCGCCCTGGTCCTTGAGCAAGGTTACCTAACTGCAATGTCACTGCAAAATGTCCTATTTCCACGAGTCCTTCCACTAAGCAACATGGGGTACACTAGCAAGGAAATTGTCATACCTACTTGGCTAATGGCTCCCACCAGCAACCCAAGAAAATGACGATTTCAGGGGTTGGAGACATCGCCAGGTGACAGGGTTGTCTAGATAGTATAGTAAGACTGGGAGTGAGAATAGTGGGTTCTTATCTGAGACTTGTAGAACAAGATGGGACAGCCTCAAGCATATGGTGCAGGTGAAGTTTGTCCCTTGGTATTGGTGTGTGTTGGGTCTGGTGTACCAGTGAGAGAACACATAATTTGGGGGGTGGGCTGGGAGTGCAGAAAGGCCAGCAAGGGTCCCATGTTCAACTCTGGGGCCACAGTGTCCATATCTACCCTCTGCAGGTGGCATTTTCCTGGCCCCATGGTACATGGCCAGTGATGGGGAATTAAGGAAGATACACATCCCAGGCTCTTTCTCAGTGTGTTGCGGGTAGCAGATCCTTAAATGGTGTTACTCGTTGTGTATATTCTCATTATTATAGATACTGTTGCTCTCACTACTGCTATCCGTGTTTTAACAGGTGGAAATACTGGTAACTAAACTTCATTTGACTCCAGACTCTCCCCTTTCTAAATCTTCATGTTTCACTGTGCAGTTTTATGCTTATTTGTATGTCCAATATTAATGGTCATTATAACATCCTCCTGGAGTCAGTCCTGGCTGAATAAAAGAGAGAGCCTGTCTTACTTGCCCTTCATTGTATTGGGAAGCAAACTATGTGGGACTTGTTAGCAATTAGAATGCTATTAGTTTTCATGTGTCCTTTTTTTAAATCTTATTTAGCTCATATGTAAATGTTCAAGAAATAAAATTGGTGATGGAAATAATTAAACTTATTAAAGACAAAAGAAGAGACGTCACTTTTCGAAACATTGGCATAATAACCCATTACAAGGCTCAGAAGACAATGATTCAGAAGGATTTGGACAAAGAGTTTGATCGGAAAGGGTGAGATATATTTACATCTGTTTCTAGGCAGCGGTGAAGTGTTAACAGGGCAGAAGGAGCCTGGGACACCAGCTTCCCTAGACTTGTTGGGTGGGTCCTGGGCCCTGGAGACGGGCATCTCCTGCCAGTTGGAATGTCAACATTGTGCTTGACAGTGGAACTGGCTAAAAAATCTACACGATTTTTTCACTTTATTCCATGATTTGCTGACCTGAATTTTAATTCTAGAGAGACTAGTAAAGTCATATTTCATTTTGAATATAAGTAGTTTTTTATGTAGAGTGAAAATTAAGGATCAGATACTAGAAATCCATTAACTCAAGGATTTGGCTCATTGGTAGAGTGCTTGCCTCACATAGGTGAGACACTGGGTTTGATTTCCAGCACCACATATAAATAAGTGAATAAAATAAAGGTTCATCAACAACTAATATATATATATATATATATATCCTCAAGAGTTTTTTAACCCAGAAACCCAGAGATGACCAAAATTGACTCTATAAAAAGAGAAAATCTGAACAGATGTATATAACAAGTAAAAAGGTGGAGATAGTAATCAAATACCTCCTGATAGTGAAAGACTCAAGACCAGCCTTCATTGGTGAATTCTACCAAATTAAAAAAAATAAAGAACACCAGTCCTTGGATCCAAAAAGTGGAACACTTTTTAACTCTTTTATTTTTATTTTTATTTTTTTGGTGTGTGTGTGTGTGTGTGTGTGTGTATAGCTGGGGATTAAACCCATGGCCTTTTGCATGCAAGGCAAGCACTCATTTTTATGAGGGCAAAATTCAGCCTGATACCAAAGCCAAGGAAAAAAGACATCACAAGAAAACTGTAGATTGATATCCTTCTTGAATATAGATGCATAAATGCTAAACAAGAGTGGCAGACTGAAGTCAGCAGCATATTAAAAGGATAGTACATCATGACTAAGTGGGATTTATCCAGGAGTGCACGGTTAGTTCCACATATGGAAACTAATGTGATATACATATATATGTGTGATATATATATTAATAGAGTAAGAGACCCACATGACTATCCCAGTAGACAGAGAAAAGGCATTTGACAGAATTCAGTACCATTTTATGATAAAAACATTGAACAAAGTAGGAAATTGTTAATCTAATAGAAGACATCTAGGAAAACTATAGCTAACATTGTTCTTACAGTAAAGTAGACAGCCTTTCTTCCTAAGACCATGAAGGATCTTTGCTCTTCCCATTTCTTTTCCACATTATACTAGGGATTCTAGCCAGAGCAGTTGAGCAAGAAAAACAAAAGTCATCTATATCTGAAAGGAAGAGGTAAAAATGTTTTCTTCATAGGGCTGGGGATATAGCTCAGTTGGTAGAGTGCTTGCTTCGCATGCACAAGGCCCTTGGTTCAATCCCCAGCACCACCACACACAAAAAAAAACCCTTTGTGGATGGCATGTCTTATTTTTAGAAACCTTATGGAAGCCATACAGAGAAACAGCTAGAGCTTATGAACAAACGGAGCAGAGTTGCAGGATGCAGAGTCAATATATAAAAATCTGTTGCATTTCTATACATTATGATTAGTCTGAAAAGGAAATAAAAACAGTTCCATTTACAATAGCATCAAAATGAATAAATTAGGGAATAAATATAACCAAAAAAGTGATGATTAAGATTTATACATTGAAAACTGCAAATGTTGCAAGAAATTTTAAAACACCAAAATAAATGGAAAGACATCTGTGTTCAAGGATCTGAAGATGTTAAGATAATAGGACTCCCCACATTGATAGGATAATCTCTCAAAATTCCAAGTACCTGAACTTTGGATTGTGCAGAGGGGAGAGGGAGGGTGGGGCTGTGGGATGGGAAGGACACGAATGAGACATTATTACCCTATATACATGTATGATTACACTACTGGTGTGAGGAATGAGAAGTTGTGCTCCATTTGTGTACAGGTGTCAAAATGCATTCTATTGATATGATTAATTAGAACAAAATTTTTTAAAAATATAGGGGTGGGCTGGGGTTGTGGCTCAGCAGTAGAGCACTCACCTAGTACATGTGGGGCCCTGGGTTCGATCCTAAGCACCACATATAAATAAACAAAATAAAGGTATGTGTCTACCTATTACTAAAAAAATTTTTTTAAATATTTAAAAAATTAGTAAATAATATAGGGAGGCCAGTAGAATAGAAGAAGGGGATGGGAGAGGGAGGGAAGGAAAGGGGAGGTGCTAGGGAATGAAGTTGATCAAAATATACTGTTTGCACATATGAATATATTATAACAAATCCAAAAATAAATAAAGTGTAAAATTTTTAGAAAAAGATTCCAAGTATGTTTTATAGGGAGATGATTAAGCTGATTAAACTATAAAACTTTTAAGGAAGCCAGGCCTAGTTGTGCACACCTATAATCCCAGCTACTCAGGAGACTGATGTAAGCCCTAAACAACTTGGTCTCAACAAATAAAAAGGGCTGGGGTGTAGCTAAGTGATAGAGTGCTTGAAAGAAGGCCTTGAGTTCATTGTCTAGTACGAAGGGGGAAAATATATTTTTTAAGGAAATATAAGTATGAATCTATTTGACCTTAGATTAAGCAGTAATTTCTGAGATGTGACACCAAAGGAAAAAAAATAAATTGGACTTCATAACAATTAAGCTTTTTGGCTATATGCAGTAGTAGTATGCACCTGTAGTCTCAGTGACTTAGGAAGCTGAGGCAGAAGGATTGCAGGTTTAAGGCCAACCTCAGCAACTTAGTCCCTAAACAACTCATCTCAAAAAGTAAAAAGAGGGCTGGGGATGTGGCTCAAGCGGTAGCACGCTCGCCTGGCATGCGTGCGGCCCGGGTTCGATCCTCAGCACCACATACAAACAAAGATGTTGTGCCCGCCGATAACTAAAAAATAAATATTAAAAAATTCTCTCTTTAAAAAAAAAAAAAAGTAAAAAGAGACAGGGCATGGTGGTGCATGCCTGTAATCCCAGTACCTTGAGAGGCTGAAACAAGAGAATCACAAGTTCAAAGCCAGCCTCAGCAATGGCAAGGAACTAAGCAACTCAGTGACCCTGTCTCAAGATACAAAATAGGGCTGGGGATGTGGGTCAGGGTTGAGTGCCTCTGAGTTCAATCTCCAGTACTCCAAAAAATAAATTTAAAAAAGAGCTGGGGATGTGGTTCAATGGTAAAGTATCCCTGGGTTCAATCCCAGCACACACAAAAAAAATAATTCAAATATTTCTGAGTGTCAAAGAGTGGAAAGGTATAGCTCAGCGATAGAGTGCTTATCCAGCATGCATGAGGCCCTGGGTTCCATCCCTAGCCTCACACCCAAAGTGGGTAAAAACCCTCAAATAGAAAATACTTGGAAATCATTTATCTGTTAAGACCCTAGGGGCTGGGGCTATAGCTCAGTGGCAAAGCACTTGCCTTACATGCACAAGGCCCTGGTTTCGATCCCCAGCACCACAAAAAAAAAAAAAAAAAAGATCCTCATATTTAGAATACATAAAGATATTTAGAATACATAAAGAATTGTAACAACTCAGTAATTTCGAGAATAGGCAAAAGATTTGAATAAGCATTTCTCAAAAGAAGATATAAACCCAGCCAGTAATCACATGAAAAGATGCTGTGTCATTTGCCACTGTGGAAATGCAAATCAAAACCCCAAGATACCACTTCACATCAACTAAGATCACCTAAAAAAAAGAACCTAGACCAAAAAAAAGTGGGGAAGATGTGGAAAAAATGGAACCCTGATGCGTTTGTTGCTGGTGAAAAGGTAAAATAGTGAATGTAGAAAAGAGTTTAATGATTCCTCAAGTAGTTGAATGTAGAGTTACCCCAGGACTTAGCAGTTCCACTCCTAGGTGTATACCCAACAGACTAGAACAGGTATTCACCCATAAGCTTTTGCATGAGTATTCATAGCAGCATGATTTGTAGTAGTCATAAACCAGAACTAGCCCAAGTGCCCATCCAGTGTGAACGGCTAAGTTGTGGTATGTCTACCGTGAAATACTAGTCAAAAGAGGAAGGAATGGTGCCATGGGCTAGCAATGCATGAGTCTTGGATGGTGAGGATAAGGGAGAGAAGCCTGTGCCAGAGGATCACGTTTTATGCTTCCATTTGTATGTTTTTGGTATAAGAAAATTTAGAGACTGAAAGGAGATTCATGGTTGCCAGGGCACAGGGGTGAGACATAGTGCAGTTAAGACTAACTGCTAAGAATCTCACGAAAAAAGAAAAGGCTTTAAAATGTGACTCTGTTTTAATATTTAATAGTTTGTCTGTAAACATGTCTTTCTTTTGCAAATAGACCAGCAGAAGTGGACACTGTGGATGCCTTCCAGGGTCGTCAGAAGGACTGTGTCATTGTTACATGTGTCAGGGCAAATGCCATGCAGGGCTCAATTGGGTGAGTAGCTGTTACGGTCCCCTTTTTCTTATACTGGGAATTGAGCCGAGGGACACTCTACCATTAAGCTATGTCCCAGTCCTTTTTATTTTTCATTTTGAGGCAGAGTCTCACTAAGTTGCTGAGTCTGGCCTCAAACTTGGAGTCCTCCTGCCTCAGCCTCCTGAGTTTCTGGGGTTGCAGGAATGTGCAACCGTGCCTGGCTGCCTTTAAGATTAGATCTATCACTATTGGAAAACACCATTATTTTGCTCTCTTAACTTTTTTTTAGAGAGAGAGAGAATTTTTAATACTTATTTTTTTAGTTTTCGGCGGACACATCATCTTTGTTTATATGTGGTGCTGAGGATCGAACCCAGGCCACACGCATGCCAGGCGAGCGTGCTACCATTTGAGCCACATCCCCAGTCCCATCTCTTAACTTTTTTTATGAAAACTTTTATAATATCATGAAGATTTCTTTTTGTAAAATAGATCCATTGTTAGGTTGGCTTTCCTTGATGTCTTGTATGTTAGCCCATTCCATAGTGTGACTCTGTTCTTTCATTTAATAAGAAATAACAGCTGGATTATATTTCTTTCCAAGATATGTGTGTCCCACATGGTATGTGTCATAAACAGTTTTCCCCCTTCTGTTTTCCTGCTTGACTTAGTTTAGTAGCCTAACCTGCTAGCTCAGGACTCCCTTGAGCTCCAGGCCTGTAACTCTTCATATCACTCTCTGTTCCTTCTCATAAGATACAGAGGGAGCTGGGCATGGTGGCACACACCTGTAATCCCAGTGGCACAGGACGCTGAGGCAGGAGGATCACAAGTTCAAAGCCAGCCTCATCCATTTAGTGAGGCCCTAAGCAATGTAGTGAGACCCTGCCTCAAAATAAAAAGGGCTGGGGATGTGGCTCAGTGGTATAGCACTCTTGGGTTCAATTCAATGGAATTTACAGGTTGTAAATTTGTTTATTCTTATAATTAGTAATGTAAATGATCTTTGTCCATAATTGGGATGGGCTGCATGTACACACAGGCCATTTACCACAGGGTTGTTTTGTAAGTGGTCGATTCTTTCCCATTTTATTTCTATTAATTTGTCTGACTGATGTTTGTGTTTCTGCCCTAGTTCCACAATAGTTCAACAATTTAAATGTATTTAAATTTAAGAATGAATAATTGAAATGATTTTTTTAAAGATATTTTTAAGACTTAAAAGTCATACTGTTAAATTTTATATCGAAGTCAGAGTAGGAGATTGACGTTTGTTTACTGTTTTTAGTGGGAATTGCTTCTGTGCTGGGTTGGGACAAAAAAGCTAAGAACTCACTGTCTTCAAAAGACTTAAAAGGAGCACAGGAGTTGTCTTAAATGCCACCTGCCTCCTTTAAACAAATGTGTGAGGCCTTCCTCTAAGAAGAAGTAACTTCTTTTTGTTGCTTAGATTCCTGGCCAGTTTGCAGAGATTGAATGTCACCATTACACGAGCTAAGTACAGCCTCTTCATCCTCGGGCATTTGAGGACTCTGATGGTAGGTACATTTTGGGGGGCTACAGGGAGCTCAAGTTTGCCCGTTGTTACTATCAGTAGGTTTTTGTTTTTTATTTCTCCATCAAAATGCAAATAAAGGTTATAATGTCCTCCAGTAAATTTTCCCTGGAAGTTTTTGTGTACACATAAGCCACTTACCCTTTCTCAACCCAGGTATTTCCACTAGGTTCTCAGGGTACCGTTTTAAAATGATCCCGCGTCTGTGGGATCACACCTATGCGTGTTAGCTCAGTGCTTGATGTTTAGTCAACACTGAGCAAATGTGGCACAAGGTGTGCTCCGATCTGTCCTGAGCCACCTGGAGCCCTGTGCCTGCATCCGCTGAAGTCGTTGCCTTCAGAGTTCCTCTGCTTCTTTGCAGGGAGTGTGAGCCAAGCCTCTGTAGTAAAGTGGGGGGCTGTCATTGGTGGAGTCACAGCAAGATGCAGCGCGTACTTGCTCTTGGTCTCTCTAGGGCTGATGACTTTTGGGATTTTGTTGTTGTTGAAAGTCATCTTAGAAGAGAAGGAAATTCAGAATTTTGCCTTTCATTTTAGTTAGTACCACTGGAGGGCATTCAAAAGTTGATATGAAAAAAATCTTTTAGTATTGCTGAAGATTGGTAAATGTTAACATGTTTAAATGAGGCAGTGGGCTGGGGATAAAGCTCAATGATTGAATACTTGCCTTAGCATGCACAAGGCCCTGGGTTCTATCGCTAATGCCACAAAAAAATAGATAAATAAGGAAGAAGAAGAAATAAAGCAATTAAAAATAAAATGATTACAAGCTAGGAGTGCTGGTACATGCCTGTAACTCCAGCAACCTGGAGGCTGAGAAGGATTGGAGGTTGAGGCCATCCTGGGTAACTTAGCAAGACCCTTTCTCAAAATAAAAAATGCAGAGCACTGGAGATGTAGCTCAGTGGTAGAGCCCCTTGGATTCAATCCCCAGTATAGAGGTGTAGTCTTTGGGAACCCCAGGTTCGTACTTCCATGAATTTGCTGGCCGCTGGCCTCCCCTTGATGGCCTGGGTGTTTTCACTCTGGGGAGGCAGTGCTACAAAGAACAGCCCACTGAGGGAGGATAGGGAGTGGCCCGTGGTAGAGCACCACCCAGCCCAGCACTGCAGAGAGCGGGGAGGCCAGGACAAGGCTTCCACCTAACTTGTTTTGTTGTTCTTGGGTCCCACCTGCCTGCCCCCACCACTGGTGCCTCCCCTCCCCCGCAATTCTTTAGCTCTGTTTTTCTCATGAAAATGGAATCAGTCATGAAAGCACTTGGTTTCCTCTGAGAAGCCAAGATTAATAGTCCCTCCTTAAAACTATTTTTGTGCTCTTAGGATTGGATTAGGTGCCAATTTAGGTATGATAGTCTTGGCAAAAACAGCAAGGCCATCTGTTCCACGTGTGTCTCAGCCACAGACTGAGGCTCTGGAGAGGCCTCCCAGCAGGAGGAAGAGTTGAGCCACCAGACCTGGCTGCCCGCATGGCCCTCGCTGCGTCACCCACCCTGCTCACGTGACTGACCCGTGGACCCAGGAAGCCACCAAGCACAGTGCACACCACCCTTGTGCGCTGCTGTTGGGCTGTGACGCAGCGCTGACTCGCACTTAGAATCCTCATTTTTTGCTGTCTTGGACTTGAGACAAGTGTTTATCATTTCACTCTGTGCATACATAAAAGCAGACGTACAGGTAAAATGAATAGGTCAAGATACTCTTGAAAGGATTTCACTTTCAGGATCCAGTCATTGCCCAGTTCCTAGGGTCAGTGTCCTCCTCATCCACCTAAAAGGTTGGTGGATCAACATTTCCTCAGAGAGCACCGCCACTGTCTCCAGGGCTGTCTTAGAACCCCTGATTCCATTCCCCAGGTGGTGGTAGCTTTCTTGTGTCAATCAGATGATGTCCATGGAAGGTTTTCAGAGAAGATCTGTAAATGATACATTGACTAAAAAGGAGTTAGAGTTGCTGAGTCATGAATTTGCCTGGCATCAGCACACGGAAACTGCTGCTTGGCCAAGAGGCAGCCCACAGTCAGGAGTGGTGAAATGTGAATATTAAATGAAATATTATTCCTATTTTTTATACTGAGGAAAGTTGCTCAGAGAGGTCAAGTGACTTTACCAAGCCCCTATATATAGCAAGCAGAACTGCAGCCCCACTCCCCTGACCACCTTTCAATAGGAGCCCACATGAGGGTCGCTGTCCATTTTCTTTTCCTTTAATCTCTTCCCTTGTTTGTTCTTAGTAAAGTGACTCACTCAAGTTCTAGTGGTTGTAAATCAGGAATTACTATTGGAGAAAATTATAAAGGGAAAAGAGAAGAAACATGTTGTTCTGTTCCACATTTAGCTGTGTTTCTCATGGTTAAGCTCCAGAAAAGAGTCAGGAAATTGGGTGATACCTGTGGGATACTATCTCAGTCAGTTAATATGTTTTCTATCTTTGGGGCTTGGGAGGCCTTTGGGAAGCCAGTAAAGCTCCGTGCCTCTTTCTAGAATAACCACCTGCATTCAAGCTTGCCTTCTGAGACCAAGCCTTCCTGCTGCCGAATATCAGCTCTGCCAAGGGCAGGCAGTACCCTAGGTCAGCATTATACAAAGGACCCCGGGGACGGGAGTGTTCTATGCCTGCATCATCTAGTGCAGTAGCTATTAGAAGTGTGTGACCATTGCACACTTGAAACAGGGCATAGAAGCTGAGGAGCTTAAGTTTTATTTTTTTCTTTCATGGAAATTTAGCTACATGAAGTTTCCAGAGAGTAGTGCAGAGCTGCATGATGGTATATCACCTTGCAGCGTGAGTAACAGTTGTGAGAATGGTCAAAGTTTTTGTCTGTCATTATGTATTTGAATTTACTTTTTTCCTTCAGCCTTGTCTGATGAGTAATGCATTGTTGAGAATCTACACATAAAAGTATATGTATCATTTGTTCAGAAATGAATGTTGGAACCCCGTGGTCCCCATCCATAGGAGTGTTTCTTTGGGGTATAATCGTTTCGCCCTTTCCTTTGTTTCAAGGAAAACCAGCATTGGAATCATCTGATTCAGGATGCTCAGAAGCGTGGTGCCATCATTAAGACCTGCGACAAAAACTATAGACATGATGCAATGAAGATTCTGAAACTTAAGCCTGTGCTACAGAGAAGTCTGACGCACCCACCTACCATTGCCCCAGAGGTGTCCAGACCCCAAGGTGGCTTGCCCAGCAACAAGCTAGACAGTGAATTTGCCAAGACATCTTTTGCATCTTCTTTATACCACACACCCTCTGACTGCAGGGAAGTTGCTGTTACTGTGACCTCAAAGGACCCTGAAAGGCCTCCTCTTCAGGACCGACTTCGGGACCCACGACTGCTGAGGAGATTGGGTGCTGATGCCAAGGGAAAATTCCTAAGAGATCCACAACCCTTGAGCCCCCAGCATCCTGGAGCAACATCTCCCCTGGGAGAGCCAGGCTTTCCCGTAACTCACCAGGACCTTGGCAGTGCATTGCCACTGTCTGCTGCTAAACTGCCCCTGCAGAGCAACCACACACCTCCCATGCCGGGTGAGCCTCCAGCTGCGAGCTCGGATGCTTCCACAAGTAAACGCAAATGTGACCTGGAAGCAGGGCTCTGTCACAGGAGAGAGACCAGGGCTTTCAGTGAGGGGGAACAGGAGAAGCATGGCTCTGTCTCATATCATACGAAGAGGAGACTGGAGAAAGAGGAGAGCTATTCCAAGAAGAGGAAGCTTTTATAGCAAAGCCAGGTGCCTGCACTGCCAGCCACAGGCGGTATCTTAAACTCAAGGTGACCAGCTAGTAGGACCATCTGGACAAGACCGTCTCTTCCTGAAAGGAGTTTGTGCTGTGGGAAAACATGGGCGTGCATCCTAACAGCTGAGCCTTTGGTCATCTTCAGTAATTCCTGTCAGTTGCTAAAGCTTTCAGAGGGCGTTTGTGTGTCTGTGATAATGTCCTTGAAGTCAGAGACTCAAAATGTTGATCTCTTGTTCTACAGAAGAGGAGGTCAGACTGGAGTGGATGTTGTAAAAGTTGAAATGTATATTTGTATAGCAAATAACAAAATCCTTTTAAAATTTAATCTAGTAGGCCGCTTTTCTTTCCCCTGCTTAAATGTTAATCATTTTCAACAAAACAAACTTCATGTGGAGATTGGGGTGGGAGAGTGGGAAGGGAGCAAGAGGAGGTAGGTCCTTTCAGCCATTGCTATGGCAAGACAAGTTTCCTTAACAGCTGAGATGATTTGGAATAATCTGAGTTAGTGCTAGTGGATCAGATGCCTCTAGCTCTTCTTAAATAAAAACAACTGGAGTTTCCTGGGGATGTTTGAGGATCAGTTATGCTAGGTAAAGTTCTGCTTATGTGGTGTTTGCATTTTTAGACCAGGCACCTTGGCACAGGGTATTAAATATCTGATTAGTTACCTGTTGTAGAGTACATGTTGTTCTCTGGATGAAATTCTTACACTTCCTGAAATACTAGAATAAGAGATGGAAGAAGTTCTTGAAGCACCATTCAGATGCACCTGCAAACGGTTGTGGATGTGGTTACTGAATTCCAGATAAGGAGGACTGGGTTTGCCACGGAAGAATCAACTCGGGTGGGTTGTTAGAGCTTTTGGTGGGTTGCCAGGGAAAGTCAACCCTTCCCAGCGAATCCCAGTCTCCAGGCAGCATGGTAACCATTGGGGTAGGCCCTACAGAGTATTTTAGGCAGGAAAGAGACTCCTTTAAAAAGAAGGGTAACAAAGAAGAGTTTAGAACCAGGCAGAGAGCTGACCGATTCCTGTTGGCTTTGGGACATCCAAGGGTGAAAGGGCCGTGTGCGGTCAGCGGCCCTGATTCTGTGGAGCTGGTGGTCCCTGTGGGAGGAAAGCAGGGTGGCAAGAGGACTGGCTCAGGATAGGGAGGGAGTGCCAACTGTCATGCCTGATTTTGTCCAAATTTCCAAAGTTGTTTACCTGACGGTTGTAATAACCAGTCACTTACAGTGAATTCTGTGCAGCCCATTAACTTGATTTTGGGGCAGGAACACAAATACCTGAAGATAAATGTGCACTATTTAAAATTTTCTTTGTCATCTGCTTTTTCAGCAAAAAGGGTTTTGTGTTAGAAATCCTGCTGATGCAGGTTTTAAAGAGCCTTGAAAAGAGTTGGAGTTTTCTGTTCCATCACCTGTGTCTTTCCCGTGGGTGCCTGGATGCCTGACGAATGTCAGCGGGACATTCCTGAAACCAGGGAGCTCACCTTCTTAGAGCATTTAGGCCCTGGGTCAGCCACTGCCTCCAGTTTGTGGGTATAGTTTGCCCTGGGCCCTGGGTGCAGGGAAGAGCAGGTCGGGCTGGGTGAGCCCTGCTGTGCCTGGGCCATGGCTCTGTGGGCTTCCTCTCTGTGCCTTGGTCAAGAGACCTCATGTGACCTTTCAGCTTACTTTCTGCTATCTTGGGAAAGTGCTCAAATTCAACAGAGACTTGTAGGAGTGACCGCTTCGGTAGTCTAAAAACTGTGGACTTCTAAGGGAGATGACAAAAGTAGCTGATATGGGGACATATCCCAGTCTGCTCGTATTGACTCGTGAATTCCAAGTGTTTCCCCCCCAAGCACATCCTTCACAGCCCCACGCTGAACAGCATTCTTTCCATCCAGTTTGATCCCTGTTCTCAGGTTGTGGTCATCTGTTGGGTCACTGCTCAGAGGCCAGTCACCTGAAAATTGTCAAGAACTGCAGCCTTTTTTCTTTTTCTTTTCTTTTTTTTTTTTTTTTCATCCTCCTTTTTTAATTTTTGTGTGGGGGTAGGGATGCCGGGATCTAACCAAGACCTCAGGTGCTAGGTGAGTGCTCTGCCACTGAGCTGATCCCTGATCCCTGCAAACAAACCTGTGCCCCAGAATACACTGTACTTGACATTAAGTTTTATTTGTTTCAGTTGGTAAAGTATTTGCAGGAAGCATTGGGTGTGTGTGCCGTGGCCTTTCCTGACGTGTCTGTTATGGCGCTGCTGCGGACGTGGCTCATCTTGCTGCAAGATGGAGACATGGCTGCTGCGTCCTTGAGCAACGTTCAAAGAAAGTGCTCTGTCTTCTTTGAGTATTGGTTATTTCAAAATGAATATAGTCTATTTAACCTTCTTTGTATATATTTCCCTTAGATTTATTGTGCTCAGTTTGTTTAGTTATATGTTTTGTGAATTATCAGGAGCAAATTTGATAAGTACATGTGAATAACCTCCTGTAAATTAGTTTTATAAGAAATGTACTAAACTATTTTCTGAACTTAGTTGTGCAGATTGACAATTTTTTTCCTGTAGCTTTGACTTTCTATGCTGTATATTTATAGCTGGGATTTGACAAACAATGGACCTGTTCTCTTTGTTAAAACCTAAATTTTAAGACAATGGCAGAATTAAAAGTGGAAACAAGAAAATTGACATAGGCTATAAGTTATATGTTATGGAATTAAGATACAAGGTTCTAACAGGTAAACCATTTAATCTGCCATTTCATTGTTTCATGCTTAAATTTCTTGGAGGGGATTTATGTAATTTGGATATAAAAAAAGTCCACTATCCATCCCCAGTCCAGCTCGCCTTGCTCAGCAGCTCCTGTTGGAATTCTCGGCAGTAGGGAGGTGCACAGGCCACCTGGTGTGCAGTGGACCCTGTAGCCCACAGCAAGCTCACTGCTCGGCTTGGGGGCAGGGCCGAGGAGGAAATGAGCAGTGAGCAAGTCAAGCTCCCCAAGGCACTAGTGGGGGCAGCGTGGAGTCCAGGTCAGCATAATTGCCAGTGGTTGCAGACGTGGAACACGTTTAATAAATACGGAGACTTCAGGAAATGCAGGCACTTGCCCACCCTCATGGCTGTTAAAGGCACTTGACCTCATGTCCTGTGCTGCACCCAGAGCTCTTTCAGTATGCATACACTAATTATGGTGGATGGGCGAGTGGTGTGTGCGCACCATAGCGGGAGTCATCATTCTTGCAAATGGCCTAAAGAGAAGGTGCTGCATGATGGTCACTTCATTTGTGGATTCCTTATTGCAGTAGCCATCGCAGTGATTCTTAGCATCACCAGACATCTACCAAAGCACCCGCCTCTGGGTTTTGCCATTCATCTGCTTGAGGAATTAATAATTCAGGGAGGAAACTAAAATTTAGCTTCAGCTTAAAAGGAATTTATAGTACTAGGCAGCACCACAAAACATGGGCAGCCCTCCACAACTCCTCAGAGACCTGCGTTGTTTCGCCCTTATTACCACTGCACACAGGCCTGGGCCAAGTTAGTTGGCACACACAGTAGCCATGTCCCCTGTTTGAGGCCACAGAGGGAGCTGCTCCCTGGTGGCAGAGGCAGATGGCTGCCTTGTTTCTAGGCAGCACTGCCACAGACCAAGCTGTCACACTGGGTGTGTTCAAATTTGGGGATGCAATCAAGTCAGGAAATTTCTAGAAGGTTCTGATACTTCAACTCCACCCCAGAATTTTCTGATTTAATGGGTCTGGAACAGCCAGATGTGCCAAGCCCAGATGTGCTTACTGCCTCATCCCCAGTGCACACAGCATTGGGTGGGTGAACTGGCTTGCCCAGGGCAGTACAGCTGAGGAGCAAAGAGGCCGTACAGCTGCAAAAATCAGCCTGGGAGGGAGTTGATGTCCCCTGGAAAGGAGGCTGGGGATGGCCTTAGCTCTGCCCTTGACATTGAGCAGTTCACCTCCTCCATGCATTTTACTTACTTTACCTGAAAATTGGGCTTTGAGTTCTCTTGTGATTCCTTTCACCAATAAGATCTAAAATTATAGCCGCTGACCTCTGGGGATCTGGGAGGAAGAGACAAGAAGGGTGTGGTGGGTTTGTAATTTGTCAGCCTCCATGCTGAATTCCCAAAACCCTCAGGGCAGACCCCAGGAAACACTTCTGTTCATGAGATTTGGAGGGCAGAAATGAAGTGGCAGCCCTGTGGCCCTTAGGCTCAGGAGGTTGCAACAGGGTCACCTTGCCTGCTGGCCTGTTGGCTGGCCTGAAGCTGGTCATCCTGTGCTTCAGCTTCCTGTGCTCTAGTCCCTGCCAGGTGGGTGTCTGGTGGGACCACTTATCTCCAGAGTCGGAGGCAGGCAGATCTGGCTTCCGGTCACCCAGCTCTCCCTGCTCCTCACTTGACACCCATCTTCCTCTCCCTGATGCCTACCTGGAGACTGCACATTCGGCCATCATAGTGTCCTGCTGCCCTCCCTCTTGTATTGTGTGGTTGTCGGATGAAGTACAGTACAAGCACATACATTCAAAAGCCCCAGTGGACAGTAGTGTGAGCTTTGTATTCCACGGACATCCAAGTTTTAAAGAATGTAAAAGGAGAAAAATGCCTTCACCGGCTAGGAACACATCTGTGCACATTCCCTTGTTCGTGGTGTTCCAAGTTGCCTCTGACATCATTTTGCTTCAGCCAGAGAACTGAGGACTTGTGCTGGCAATGGATTCTCCCATTTTTCCATAAGAATGCTCACGTCACCTCTCCAAGGGTTGTTTTGCTGCATGTAGAATTCTGGGTCAACAATATGATTTTCTTTCAGCACTTGAAAGATGATGTCCACTCTCTTCTGAGCTCCATGGTTCCTGATGAAAAATCCAGTCATTGCAACAGTTATTCCCTTATGCTGTGGCCTGAATGTCTGTGTCCTCCCTCCCTATGACAGTAGTAAGAGGGGATTCCAGATTTCCATTAAAGAGGCAGGACCTCTATAAAAAATAAATGTCATTGATTACTGGGAGTAGGCCTTTTACAGTGGTGGTGTCATGGGGAGTCGCCTCAGGAAACACCCTAAGTCAGAATTCAAACAAAAGAGAGCTTTATTTACCTGGCCGGGGACTGTCCCCTACCCACAGAGACTCTCTGTGGGAGAGCAGCAACTTCCTGGCCTGTGTCTTGAGAATTTAATGATGAAAACCACAACTCAGGGGCTTTTCTCAGCATCAGGCAAGCAAGCAAGTTACAGAGGCTAAAAAAAAAGCAGTTAGGGGCTGGGGATGTGGCTCAGCAGTAGAGCACTTGCCGAGCATGTGCGAGGCCCTGGGTTCGATCCTTAGCA